CTGTTGGGTGGTCATGGGGGAGCAGCCCACCATCCAGAGCCCAGGGAGTGGGGACTCTTCCACCCAGGGCCTGGGCTCTGCATGCTGGGCAAGAAGAGGAGGGCCAGCTGCTCTCCTTCCTGTCTCTCCCAGGGTGATGCTCACAGGGACCCTGTCTGACCGGCAGCCAGCTGAACTGCATCTCTTCCGGAATTATGAGGCTCCGGAACCTGTCCGGGAGCCTCGTTTCAGCCAGAACGTTAACCTAAAGCCTCTAACTCGTCCCTCAGGTTAAAACTACATCTGATGCACCCATGGGATATGGTGGCCTGAGAAATTGTGGGTGGTGGGTGGGCGTGGCTGGCTTCCCATCGGGTACCTTCTCCCGCCACCAGCTCGCTCATTGCCCTGGTCCTTACTGGTGGAGACAGGCATTGCTGGGAGTGGTCAGGTCTCGGGCAGGCTCCAGAGGCCCCAGAGGTCCTCATCACACGCTGCCTTCCACTGGGATGGTGGGGCAAGACAGCATGGCTGTGTGGGTCCTGCTGCTGGAGAGTTCCCTGCACCCCCACCTGCCCATACCCACCCCAACATGCAGGCCCTAGGTCCAAGCCCACAGGTTTTGCACTGGGCCCTCGTGCCACCTCCCCTGCAGACCAGCTGGTGTGGCGCGCAGCCAGAAGCAGCGGGGCAGCCCCCACCTACTTCCGGCCCAATGGGCGCTTCCTGGATGGCGGGCTGCTGGCCAACAACCCCACGCTGGACGCCATGACTGAGATCCACGAGTACAACCAGGACTTGATCCGCAAGGTGAGCACCGTGTCGGTCGGGAGGCTGGACGTGCCCACTCGCTGCTGCCACCCCTGCTTCAGTGGCCCTTCCTAAGGGTCAGCCCCAGGAGAGCAAGCGGCCTCTATTCCTGAGTTCATTCCTTTGTGCACTTCGTAGCACTTTTTTTTAAGTTTATTTTTTAAATTCTTCCGCAAACAAGAGGGACAAGGAGAGACAGCACCCACCACAGGGTCTTGACCCTGGGATCCACCCCTACCTCCAGCCAGCCCTGGATCGTGGGCACGTGTGTGCCTGATGGGCTCAGGGAGGTCTCCAGAACCTTCCCACGTGGTCAGCCACGCGGAGTGGAGCATTTTGCCGTTGCACCATGTCTGGCCTGCTCAGTACCAATTTCACCCCATACTTGGATCTAGGGGGGCAAGGTCTGGCTAAAGCACTCAGGACCCCAAGGCCTGTGCCGAGGGACGAAGAGCGAGGGGCCCATTTCTCGCGTCTGTGTTAGCTGGAGGGCAGCGTGCATGCTGCACACCTGCTGCTCTCTGCCCAGTCCGGACACACGTTAGCATGGACATGCCCCTCCCAAGTTTTCCGGGTGCCGTGATGGAGGACTGCCGGTGCTCCAGAGGACGGTTGCCCTTGCTTATGGGCCTAAGGCTCAGAAAAGGCTCCATGGAGGAGGGGACCCCCTCCTGAGGTCTCTGGGGACAGGGCAGTACAAGTCACTGGTCCAGAGGAAGAGAAGCAGCCCCTGGCCTGAGGAGTGGGAGCAGAGTGGTCAAGGCCCAGCAGGGGGGGAGGTCCGGCCCTGGAGCAGATGGCCTCTTGGTTAGGGTTCTGGTTCTGCCCGTGTTTCACTTCAGCCACTGGATAGGGTGATACCAGCGCATGCCTGGGGTTGGCGGTGAGACCCAGTGCACTGTTACCTGCCCGGGGTTGAGGACACCCCCTGCCCTGAGTGTGCACTCATCCTCGCAGGCGTGGTCAGCCAGAAGCCCAGGGGCCAGCCCCGGTGTCAGCCAGGCCCTGGGCTGTCAGAGAAGGCAGCCCCCCTCAGGGCCAGACCAGGCAGGGGAGCTTTCCACAGGAGTCAGAGACTGGCAAGTGGGAGGAGCATCCACTCTAGGTGGGGCCGAGAGTGGGAGTGGCTCCCCCAGTGGCCCAGCAAATTGGCAGCAAAGCTGGTTCTGAAGCTAAAAGGGGCAGTGTGAGGATCCTGGTTCCAGCTTCAGTCCCCGCCTCCCCCTCCCCGTGGCCTGAGCCAGCCTCCCCATCTGAACTCGGCTATGAGTCTGCACACCTGGGGAACGGGGAGATCAGTGCCCTCTCCAGACTGGACAGCATTACATGAGATACAGGTGCAAACACATGGCACCAAACAGGCCCGAGGGCGTCCCCTCCCCTTCCTTCTTTGCTACTCTCTGGCCTTGGCCAGCAGCAGGCATGGGATGCCTTTGCTGGGACACAAGGGGCATCCCCAAGCAGATCACAGGTCCGAGGGGAGGGGGCTGGATCTCTGAGAGATGGCCAGACACCCACCTGCACAAGTGGGGCTGGGGTCAGTGCTCAGGTGTGCTCTGCCCCAAAGCCCAGCCTCGGGCCTCTCCAGCTCCCCTGTAGTGTCCCCCAAGTGTGAGAAGGTCCCCTCTGTATTTTTTTTATTAAAAATTTTTTTCTTTCATTTTAGGTCTTTGCCATAGTGCAGGTACACTCCCCAGAAAAAGACTGTGAGAGGCAAATTGAGAAGTCTCCCCACCCCCCCAGGGGTGGCCATGCCACAGTTCCCTCTCCTCCATTCTTCCCCTGGGATTTTGGGCATGCACGTGTCCCATGCTCAAACCACAGTTGACCGTCCGGGAGTCCAACACCTGCTCCACCATGCCACCTGCTGGCCCCAAGAAGGTCCCCTCTGACTGACTACCTCTGTCCTGTTCCCAACAGGGTCAAGACAGCAAGGTGAAGAAACTCTCTATCGTTGTCTCTCTGGGGACAGGGAGGTCACCACAGGTGCCCGTGACCTGTGTGGACGTCTTCCGGCCCAGCAACCCCTGGGAACTGGCCAAGACTGTTTTTGGGGCCAAGGAACTGGGCAAGATGGTGGTGGATTGTGTGAGTGTGGGCCTTGCCCATGGGCCCGAGTGTGGGGGAGACAGGACTCTGTCCAGCCTCCAGCCTGCTGGGTGAAGAGGGAGCCCCTCATTCAGTCTCTGTGCTGGGCCAGGACCTCCGTGACCCCTACAGCAGGCACTTAAGCAGCTTTTCACTGTGATCCCTTTCTTCAAACACGGCCTTGTGTGGAAACCCAAAGCAGAAATGGACAAAAACTATGGGGAGGGACATGGGGCCCTGTCCACTCAGCGCTGCTCCCCACCCCACGACCCCTGTCCCTAGGATTGCACGGCTGGGACAGTCCCTGCAGCCCACACTCACTCCACTAGTGGGCAGTGGGGACTGGGGTCTGGGGGTGCTGGGTACAGCACGGGCTGATGCCTCATGGGCTGCTTCCCATCAGTGCACGGATCCCGACGGGCGCGCCGTGGACCGGGCCCGGGCCTGGTGCGAGATGGTGGGCGTCCAGTACTTCAGGTGAGGCGCACGGCCCAGCCCCAGCCCCGCCCATGTCCACACCTGACCTGCGAGGCCACCAACCTCCGCCAGCCCTTGCCATGGACCTGCCCTTTCCCCATGGTCCCCAGCCCAGCCCACCACGCTGGGGTGACATGAGCCCCTTGGCCTGGGCAGATTGAACCCTCAGCTGGGGACGGACATCATGCTGGACGAGGTCAGCGACACGGTGCTGGTGAACGCGCTCTGGGAGACCGAGGTCTACATCCACGAGCACCGGGAGCAGTTCCAGCAGCTCGTCCAACTGCTGCTGGCGCCCTGAGGCCGCGGCCCCGCCCCGCACACCCAGCCAGCGTGGCAGGCCGGCCTGGGCAGGGAGGCTGGGACCCAGGGGTCTCAGCTCCCTGCCGAGGCTGGCCCTGAGCTCTCCCCGTCCCCACCCTGGCACTTTCTGTCCCCCCAGCCGTAGGGAGCCTGGAGCTGCTCCCAGCTCCTCCCCAGGCGTGACAGGACCCTCTCCCTGTAGCCTCCAACACTAAGGGTGCCCGCGCCTGCACCCCCCACCTCCCAGACAAGCTGTGAAGACTGCCCCACCCCAGGTTCTCTGTGGCCCCCAGTCCCTAACACCCTCTCATCTTTCCCCGGGGCAGGGGCAGGGGCGAGAGGACCGGGTAACCCCGACCCCATCCGGCTCTGGGGCAGGACACCCCATCAACTTTGCCCTCGGCTCCCGGTGCCCCGCCCTCTAGGCGCCCCACCCTAACTCCCTCACTGCTCCCAGAGGTCGCGCCTATGAATGGAGCAAACCAAGTTATTCTTCCCCGCAGGTGATTTAAGAGTGGGGAGGGCTCCAGGGGCCACCCCGAAACTGAAATAAATGGTTTGGGTTTGAGTCACCTGTGTCGTGTGTGCCGTGCTGTGAGCCTCACCGCTGCAGCCCCCTCAGCTCTGACCTCCAGCCTTGACCCTTGACCTTCAGCAAGTGTCCTCTTCCTGTGCCCACGAGGAGCTTTGTCCCTCAGGCTCCCTGAGGTGGGACACCTTCCTGTAGGCCCCGTAAACAAGCCCACGAGGTGTGCAGAGGCAGTCGCCAGGCCCAGAGGGTGCCTTGGGCCTCACTGTGAAAACAGGGAGAGACCCGTTTGAGGCAGGAGGGGCGGGGACTCTGCGCCTCCAGCCAGTGAAGGAGCTGGGGTCTGAGGGGCTAGAGACCAGGCCCAAGGCTGGTGCCCACCATAGCCTTGTCCACCTCTGGGGGCCACCTCTGCTGGGCCTGGCAGGGAGGGTCCCAGGGGAGGGCTGAGCAGCCCTAGCCCAGGAGGGTAGGCAGGGGTTACCCAGCCAGCCTAGGGGGATGGCCATCCACGGTGCCCACCACCAGGGCTCAGAGGGTGAATAATTGAAGGGCAGGTCACACGAGCCCGCCAGCGTCACAGGATGCCTTCCTCGGCTCTGGTTACGCCCCAGATCGCGTTCTGACATCCCTGGCTGGTGAATAATTAAGCTGCCACCTCCTGGGGGCAGGCCTTGTCTCCAGGCCCCACTCTGCAGCCTCCTTGCTGCCGGCTGAGCCGTGCACCCCAGTGGGTACAACCCGGAGCTCCCGGCCCTGCCCTGACACCAGCCTCCTGCTCGGCACCGGTGCTGCCCACCCCATGGCCCCCGAGATGGACCAGTTCTACAGGTCCACCATGGCCATCTATAAGGTGAGCGGGTGCCCACGGCCTGGAGGGCAGAGCTGCGGGTGTCCTGACAGGGAAGGCCTGGGGCCAGGCGAGGCTGAGCCTTGGGCTCCCTGGAGCAGTCAGCCACGCCATCAGAGGGCCCCTGACTCCCAAACGCTGGACAAGGCAGGATGGGGCCTGGGCCCCGGTGGAAGTCCAGGTGGGAGGGAGCCGGCGGCGGGGACTCTCCTTCCTGAGACCCAGTCACCACTCCAGAGAGGTTGCTGCAGTCGGCAGCTGTGGAGGCCTGTTCTGAGCACCCTGCACACGGCACCCTTCTTGCCAACCTCATCTCCCTGACTGCGAGGCAGGAAATAAACAGCTGTCCAACCGCTGAGAAAACTGAGACCTTGGAGGTTAAAGGGCTCATTCAAGGTCACAGAGGGAAGACGAGGTGCTGCTGGGATTTGCATCGAGACCCAAGTCCAAGCCAAGCCCAGCCTGCCCCACCACAGCTGATGCAGCTGCAGCCTGCTCTTCCTTGAGGGCAAGACCTGTCCTTGTCCTTGAGGTGACTGTCAGCAGCCACACACGCCCAGTGAGGCCTGGACTCAGGCAGGGCTGAGCCATGCCCCACAGGGGGCCACAACAGAGGACGGGGGAGGAGAACCTTGAGGAGCACTACCTCCATCTTGGGAGGCACCGAGGTCCTGCCAGGGCGGACGTGTGAGCAAGAGCTGGCTGCAGGGGACCCTGGCTTGAGACAGGGCCCAGCAAGGTGGCCTCGGAGGCTGCCGCAGCTGAGAGCCAGGATTTGGGGTGGCCCCAGGTTTCCAGGTGAAATCCCCAGACCAGAGGTGTCTCAGCCCTGCCCTGAGGCTCAGTGCCTCGCCCATGCCCACCATTCTTCTTCCTCACCCACTCCCACGCCCTCCCTGCCCTCGCCCTCGGGGCTCAGAGCATCATGGAGCAGTTTAACCCCGCCCTGGAGAACCTGGTGTACCTGGGGAACAACTATCTCCGGGCCTTCCATGGTGAGTGCCGGTGCTGGCAGCCCTCAGCCACCACCACCTCCACACCTGCAGCCACGGTCACCACCGCTTGTCCCCGCTGAAGCAGCTGCCCCTTACTGGCCTCGCACCGTCCCCACAGCACGCCCTCCAGCAGCGCTAATCAACTCCACGGCAAGGCCCTGCCAGCCTGCCAGGATCTCCCAGTCAGAGCCTGCCCACCCCGCCTGCCCTCGCCATACCCCAAACTGCACTCCCATCCCGAGCCTCACCTCACGCCCCCTCCTCACAGCACACACAGACGCCACATCCCACCCATGACAGACATGTGCTGAGGTCCCGCTCAGTGCCAGGCCCCGGCCAGGCGCAGCTGCATGCGTTGGGAGAACCCACCTCTGCCCTACCCCTGGTCCCCTCTCGTCGAGGCCCCTCCCTCTCACACACGCATGTGCGGAGCCCATGGTGTCCCCTCCACAACCAAAGGGGGAGTCTTCAGGAGAGTGGGACAAGTGGAGGGGGTGCTGGGCCTGGACCCCTCGTTCCTCACCCTGCAGCCCTCTCCGAGGCGGCCGAGGTGTACTTCAGCGCCATCCAGAAGATTGGGGAGCAGGCCCTGCAGAGCTCCACCTCGCAGATTCTGGGTAAGGCACCTTCTACTGCACCCTCTTGGACTTGGGGCTGCTCCCCTGAGCCCACCTGCACCCCCAGGCCCCACCCTGCTGTCACGCTCCTGGCCCCTCTGCCTGGGTTCCAATGTCTCCTCTCAGGCTCGGAGTCCACCTTGCCCACCATCCTAGGTCCAGAGGGGTTCCTTTGGCACCCCGCCTTTCCAGGAAGTGCTCCCACCCCAGCACCTGCCTTGTGGCCCAGGGCCCAGAGTCCACCCTCTCATCCTGGAGCCCAAGCCCCTCCCCGCCCCTCCCTGCAGGCTGTTCCAGAACTGGGACCAGCACTGCCTTCGTCCCCAAGAGCCCTGTGGGAAATTCCTGGACTTTGGTCCCAAATCCAGGCTCAGTAGCTCTCCATTGGCTTCTGGCGGGAGGCACCGGCAGGGCAGATCCCCCGACCCGACCCGAGGCTGCAGCTCCCTCCTCCTGCAGGTGAGATCTTGGTGCAGATGTCAGACACCCAGCGACACTTGAACTCCGACCTGAAGGTGGTGGTGAGTGTTGGACCCCAGGGCCTGGAGGGGTCACTCAAGGAAAGCAGGCTGCATTGCAAGGAGAGTGCTGGCCTGACTGGGAGTCCCCTCTCAGGGGGGACTTGCTGCCCCCACATGGCCCTTTGCAAGGAGACAATGGCTGCCCTTTCTTTTCTTTCTTTTTTTTAGGGGGAGAGGTTTTTGCTATAGGGCACGTGCACTCGCCAGAAAGACAGAGAGAGACACAAAGCGAGAAATCACCCCCCAGGGGGATGGCCACGCCGCAACCCCTTCTCCTCCATTCTCCTCTCGGGATCTTGGGCACGCACGCACATGGACCCGGCATGAGTTTAAGCCACTGGGTCCGGGACTCGAACCACCGTCAACTGCATGGGAGTCCAGCGACATAGCCATTACGCTAACTGCTGGTCCCACAGCTGCCCTTCCTGGCACCTGCCAGGCACAGGCTCTGCTGGGCACATACCCCTGCAATGACTCAGTCAAGCCTCTCAGCAACCCTAGGAGGCCAGTGGCATTTCTACCCCCATTTCACAGAGAAAACTGAGTTTCTGAGTCAGTGCCTAAGATTCCAGAGTGAGAAGAGGAGTGAGGAAGAGAAGATGCGCCTCATGCCCAGGTGCACCAGGCCCAGGTCCTGCTTCCTCCTCAGCCTCCCCCCTTACCCACCCACCCTCCCTCCTTCCAGTCTCCCAGGGAGCCACCGTGATTCAACCACGTCACTGTCGCTCCCATGAGCAAGACCATTCCAGGCCCCACTGCCCACAGAACTAAATGATCTCCCAGGAGAAGGCTTCCAGGCCTGGCAGGTCCAGCAGCCCCGCTCTGACACTTGTCATGGCCCAGCTGCCCCGGAGAGCCGACCTTCTGCAGGGTACTGTCCTGCTGTTCTCTCCACATAGACCCGCCCACCCCTGCCCTGCCATCCAGCCCAGCGGTCACTTCCTCCGTGAAGCCTCTCCTCCCTCTCGACCCCAGTAGGTGCTTCCACCTGTTTTTAGTGTATGGCAATTAAAGGTGAGCTCTGCACCCAGGACAGCTGGGTTCAGAGCCCAGCTCCACAGTTACTGGCTTTGCAACCTGAGACTCTGTACCTCAGTTTACCTATCTGAAAAATGGAGACAGAACTGCTTCATAAGATTCTCAAGAGGATTGGGACCAGCAGATGGCATAATGGTTATGTCACTGGACTCCCACATAGTCGACCACAGTTCAAATCCTGGACCGGCAGCTCAGAATTCACATTGGGCGCATGTACGTGTGTGCCCAAAATCCCGAGAGGAGAACGTCAGAGAAGGGATTGTGGTGTGGCCATCCCCCCCTGGGGGGGGGGCAGGTGATTTCTCACTTTCTGTCTCTGTCTCTCCAGTGAGCTCACACACCTAATAACAAAACAAAACAAACAAAAAAAACCTCTTAAAGGTTCATCTCTGTCTGTCCCAGGCCTGGGAGCTCCTCCTGGCAGGAATGTGGTCTTGTTTCCTCTGTGGCTCCCAGGCCTGGCACCACGCAGGGCTTCGCTGACTTCGGAAGGAGAGAGCAAGCCCCGAGAAGGGAGGGTCCCCCCCACACAGGGCACAGCAGGAGGCTAAGCAGACATGAGCGAGAGATGGAGCCGGGCAGGGTGGGAGAGGTGGACAGTGGCCTGGTGCCAAAGGCCTTGGAGGGTTCCGGAGGAATCGTAACTAACTGTGACAGTCTATGGCTCTTGCACATTGGCAGGGAACCCCTGGGAGTCAGGATGTTCTTTGAGAGATGCCACGAAACACCCATCAGTTGTGGGTGGGGAGCCATCTTACAGACAGAAAATGTTCATCATGGAGGAAGCCACGTCCCGGGCCCTGTGGGCTCCAGGGCCTCCATGGGCACCTTAGAGGGCAGCCCACTGCCTCCTGGGCTTGGGCATGGGGTTCTGAAACCTGCAGCTTCCTGTGTCTAGTGGCTCTTTGTGTCACCTGTGGCACGACTGGGCTGGATAAGGATGAATGTCACCCAGGCTTGCTCTGTAAGGAGAGCTGTCCTCTCTGGGCACCAATGTCTTGGCTGTCACAACTGGGCAGGGCCCTTGGCCAGAATCTTACCAGGTAGGACAGTGCTAGAGGCCACCTCTGCCTTAGCGTATTCATTCGATCACCACGTACCGCCAGGTGGCAGGTGCCAGGCACTGTCATAGGCTCTAAGGACACACCAGACAGAAATCCTTGCCTTCTGAAAGAAGGACCCAGACAAAACCCGAGTGAGTGAGTATATATGTGTAACGTGTGAGGTGCACAACACGCTACAGAGAAAAATAGAGCTGGGGCAGGAAGTGTTTGGGAGACAAGTTGTGTATTATTATCATTTTATTATTATTCTTACCAAAGGGCACACGCACTCACCAAAGAGACAGCGGGAGAGGGAGAAAGCACCTCCCGACTGGGTGTAGCTGCACCGGAATCCTTCATCTAACATACTTTTTCAGTATGCAGTTTCACATCTCTCTCTTTGGATTTTAAGAAACTTGTCTCAAATTAGTTTTTAGAATCGTTTGCTCCTTTTCTCTGCGTTTCTTCTTTAGAGGCTCTGCCAGTGCCTCGCTCCTCATAGCCCATCTGCCACATGCACCTCCTCCTCTGCGTGTCTGTCCTTTCCACATTCAGGTATTAGGAATTAATGTGTGGAGCTGGGATGGGGCCCAGAGTAGGACCTGCCATAGATGTGGGTCTGTATCTATAGACATCGGCTAGGAAGGTTTGACTGTGCCCTCCCCCCCGTTCACGTGGTGACATTTGGATGTGACAGAATTAAGAAGGTGGAAAGGCAGTCCCACTGTGGGACTAAGAGGTGAAGCCTTGGGAGGTGATTAGGATTAAGGTCATCGGGATGGGACTTCGTGATTGAGTCCTGGTGGGTTTACAAAGAGAGGGGATGAGACAGACACACGGACACAGACACGGGCCAGCTCTTGCTCCGAGTCAGCGCGCAGTGACGAGAAGACCCTCACTGACAAAGCCTTGAGCTGGGACTTCCAGAGCCAGGGGCCAGATAAACTTTATAAGTTACCCGGTTTGTCATATTTAGTACGCAACAGAGAGCAGGTTAAACACAGCCTTGTGAGATACGATTCACACGCCATGAAATTTACCCTTTCACAGCGTACATTTGAAAGTTTTTAGTGTATTTAGAGAGTTTTACAACCATCCCCACTAAATTAGGACATTTTCCTCCATCTGCCAAAGTACCCTCTACCCAGTAGCTACCACTTCCCGTTTCCTTTCTTTTCTTTTCCTTTTTTTTTTTTTTTGAGAGATTTTTTGCTATAGGGTGTGTGCACTCGCCAGAAAGACAGAGACAGAGAGACAGAAAGCGAGAAATCACCCCCCAGGGGGATGGCCATGCTGCAATCCCTTCTCCTCCATTCTCCTCTCGGGATCTTGGGCACGCATGCACACACACCCTGCATGAGTCTAAGCCACCAGGTCCGGGACTCAAACTGTGGTCGGCTACATGGGAGTCCAGCGACATAGCCATTACACTAACTGCTGGTCCCACTCCCTATTTCTTCGTCTCTTTTCTAGTGGAGTATTCTCCTCTCTGTCTCTCTTAGGGCAGTATTTGTTGTGTTTAGTCGCTCTCGTGTCCCATGTAGTTTAGCCTTCACTAGTGAATTTATGTTTTGCTTTTTAAATGTCGAATTCCTTCCTGAGTTCTGTCAGCTCATTTCTGAATTCTTCTCTTTCTCATCTATGTGGCTTCTTTCTGGTCTTATATCATCTTCTTGTTTCACGTCTCTTTGGTTTTAAACCGTAGACGGTCTTCCCCTGTTTCCCGGCGGGCCTTTCTGGTGTGCTTTCGTTGAAAATGGCAGTCTGTTCCGTGGCCTCTTTTTTCTCTAATGACTTCCTACTGGGTTTTACTTCAGAAGTTTGAGGTTTTCTGTTGCTTGTTTTTTATGGAAAATTGAGTTAGTCCGCTTTTTGCTTTGTTTTCTGACATTTCAGAAGGAAGCGTCGGGGCAGCTCTTCTAACTTCGCAGGGTTTCTCCCTCTTGCTCTTCGGTAGTTTTCCAAATATTGGGTTGTCAGGAAAGTCTCGATGCATTTTCGCATAGAGAAACAGAAAACGACGCCATGCCTTCGCTGGCAGCCTAACAGAGGCAGCTTCCCCTCCGCTCCTGTCCGTGCTCCTGGCTTCTGCTCTCCCCTGCTGCGCCGGCTCTCTCTCCTTTGTGTCTGTTGCCCCTGCCCCCCTTTTTTTTCTCTTTCAGTAGTTTGTCTTGTTTTGTCTTGTTTTGTTTTCCATAGGGAATGTGGTCTCTGGAGAAGACAGAGAGGGAACGTGAGCAGTCACCCATAGGAGGGATGGCTGTGCCACAGCCTCTTCTCCGTTTTCCTCTCGCGATTTGGGGCATGTGCCCTGTGGCATGCTTTGCACGGTGCTGAGCCCAGGGCGTGAACCGTGCGGTCAGCCATTACCTTAACCCCCTTAACCCCCATGCCACCTGCTGGCCTGCCCCCGGTCCTGGTTTTGGTCCTCTGGCGTTTCCTCCTCCACCTGTGCTCTCCTGGAATAGCACCTGGCCAGTCTCAAGGGCTCCTAGAGGCTCAACTGCTCTAGCCGCTTCAGACTTGGTCGGGGCCCCTTGCCCTTATCCCTCTGGGCCAGCTAAATCCCCTTGGAGTCTAGGCTGCCGACGCCCTTGACTGCCAGTTATGGGGACGCTCCTGTGCTCAGCCTCCACACCAGCCCACCTTGCCTCCTCCAGTGGAGGCCAACCCTACCCAGGCCTCGCAGGCAGTGAACTTGTATTTGGGGGTGCAGGATACATCGTCTCCTGGTTTTATTCTGAGTGTTGCCTTAAGATTTTGGTTTTGTTCACTAATTTCTCCATTAGCTTTTTTTTTTTTCTTGGAGAGGTTTTTGCTATAGGGCGCATGTGCTCCCCAGAAAGACAGAGAAAAGAAGCAAGAACTCACCCCCCCCCAAGGGGTATGGCCACACTGCATCCCTCTCTGGATCTTGGG